AAAAAGGCAATTTAATGACACATGCAAACTCAACCACACAGCACATGCAGGAAAAGCCTAACACTTCCTGGTAGTGTAAGATTTGCTAAACAGGCACCTACCAATACATGTGCTGTTGGTTCAACACTTCAAGTGCCAGATTCCCTGTATTTACATTAAACAAGGCATGCTCTGGAAAAGCCTGTTGAGAAATATGGCAGCCTTAGAGATGCAGAAGTGGTTGTCTGACAGCTGAAATCATGACTCAGAAAACAAGAGATAACTTATTCAAAACCAATAACTTATACAGATAAGGATAACAGGAAAATTAAGTAAAGCAGGCAAGGTGAAAGCAGCTTGTGTGCAAGTGCTGTACATTGCTTTTTTGTGTGTGTGACAGCCAGTGCTTCACATCACAAGTGATTTGCAGTGTTACACGTGGACTGTGTAGATGCATGCACTTCTCAATTTTCATTACAATACTCCTTTGCAAATTAAATAATGGCAAGAGTAGTGGCCTGCACAAAGGGACCTTGACAAAGGAGAGACCATTCCAGGATCAATAGCAAGTTGTAAAGTTATTAATAGCGTAATTCCTGTAGCTTATAATCAAAGGTGAGGCCCCTGAAAGGCAGGACTCGGAAATAAAACTGCCACCTAATTGCTGTGGGAAATACAACTTCCCACAAAACTAGTCACATTAAAAACTAAGTTCTTCCTACACAGCAAGAATTATCAAGAAGTGTTCCAAGTTAATGCATTATCAGTAAAAAAAAAAAATATATCTCTAAACCTAAAAATAAATAAATAAATAAAAATTTGAAAATAACTTGGAAATCAAAAAACTGTGGGTTTGGGATTTTTTGCTCTGTAGGAACCAAGCTCCATGGATTTGGAAGGTCAAAAATTCTTCAGTGGTTTCTTCTGTAAAATTTTCATAGAACACTTTTCTTTACCAGATGGCACTCATTTAATGACACCAAAACTTGAGAATAAAATATTACAAGCTACTTTTTATAGGTCTAATACCATTGTCATTGACAAAATGGATTCATTAATAATTAATAATTTTTTGTCTTACATTTTGTAATACAGATATGCAGACGTATGTAGGAAAGCAGTGAGACAACATAACTATGAAGTGTTTCTCAACAGTAAGATTAAGCTGGTGAAAACATAACTATTACTCATATTTCTCTTCAGAAATATGACTTAATATTCCTCATTGTTTTCATTTTCGCATTCAGCTTCCAAAACTCTTCTCAAATCCATGCTCTAACCATACATCTGTTTATTTGCTCACCCTAGAAGCACAGTTTCAACTGTTTATTATCCAACCTCATCTTACTGTGGGCAGCACACACTACTTTTAACTTATAGTCATTTTACAGCTTGGTAAGATTTTTTATGAAACTTGCCATGCTACCAATTTTTCTGTCACAAAATTTGATTACTGATGCCTCTACATCCAGAAGGTCAGCAAAATAAAACATTAAACTTCCCAGAAGGTCTTTACACACTGTTGCAATATGTGTAGAGGCACAAAAGATGCCCCTGTAGAGTAAAAATTGATTCAAAACACATCAGCACAGCTGAAGCTTTTTAGGATGATACAACAGTTCTGAATTCTGTTGTCGGTCCTTTAACAGGTGGGTAGACTTATTTCCACAGAGCACCATCTGACAGCCATTGACAAACTCATTTTTTCCCCCAGAAAATGAATGTCAAACACCATGATTTAGCATGGGATCTTCGTAAAAACGTTTTAAGTAAAATGATGCATTTAACTTGACCCTGGTCCCTTAAGATCATAATGGAATTGCCTTATTCCTGACTGTGCCACTTAATTTTGTTTCCTAAAGAATTTTAGAGACATTTCAAACGCTACTTCAGCCACACAGGGAGGAAGACTTTTTCTTTCACAGGTGGGAAAGGGAAGCATACAGGGGGTAGAAAACCTTCTCAAGATGACATGGCAAAGACTATAATGCCTAGCCACCACTTCCTTATCAGGCAGCACTCTCAGCAGCAGAAAGCTCCCACTGTGATCAGTGGGTAATAGATTTCTGTGCATCTTTTGAAACTGCACAAAGACCAGAAATGAGAGAAGTGGAAAAACAAGGCCTAAGTCATGAAGGAGTGTATCTATATCAACTCTTATCATTTCTTCTATAAGTACAGGAGAACCGCATGGATAAAGCATCAATCAACCTTTCCCCTGTTGGTGCTGCTCACAGGAGAACAGTGTATCATCCAAGAGAATTTGAGTGCTGCAGCTATCAGCTTTGAGGTCTTTAAAAGGTCACTTGTCCAGAACCAAGCCATTACCGTTGCTTGCTGTTACCTGTTCCCTCACAACAAGTGACAAAATCTAAAGGCAGGTGTCACATTAGGTTAAACGCCACAGTTTGGACCTTACTTCTACCACTGTCGCTTAGAAAACTTTTCACTAAAACTTCCACGTTTTACTTCTGTGAAACCTCTCCATTTCTTGTTGCAGACTTAAAGGCGCCTTACTGGAAAGGACCACATTCTTTCACTGAAGCTGTGTGTACAGATTTTTATCCGTCACTTCAGTGTAAAACAAGGTATATTTTATAGTAAGCACAACAATATTAAGGGCTTTTTAGGCTGTTCAGTGACTATGGTATATTTCTAAACTCCAAGTCCATTACTTTTCCTTAATTTAGCCAATGCAGAAATTATAATTCAAAATGTATTTCTGATAAGGGACAAGTAATTAACTAAGTAAATAATTTTCAGCTCCAACATAATACAGCATTACTATAAACATGGGACTTCTTTAAATTGTGCAATACTACTTCATCTTCAGAAAATCTCACCATTTCCACAAGGAAGACACCAAAGGATTGAATGGCTTTTAGGGATCAGCAAATGGACAAATTAAAACACTACTCCAAGGAACAGCATAACTTCCAGAGATCAGATACAGAAGGACCATTCATTATAGAAAACCACAAAAGCCCAGAGCTGGAAATGCTCTGTAATCCTAAATAAGTGATCTACCTCCCTCCTCACAGCCAGCAGTCAACTCCTGCCCAGAGCTGGCAATGTCCAGCTGGCTTCCTTGTGGAAACCCCTCCCACAAAATTCTTGTGAAAAAAATTATTCTAGTGGAGTTAACATGAAAAGGATGTCACATCCAAGAGAAGGAGAGGAAAGAGCACAAGGGCAGCTGGAAAGGACACCACACTCTCCACTGGGAGGAGCAGAAAGGCTGTGGCAATTTTCCATAACCTTACTGTCCTTCTGATACAGTTTGTGGGAAACTGAAAAGGTAAATTTGATCATAACTGAATTTACAGAGTATGCGAATTAACATCTCAGTACAAAGTCCTGAAACTCTTAAGCCTCTGCAAAACAAAACAAAACCAAAAAAAACCAAAACAAACAACCACCCAAAAAAAGGCCAAGAAACAGAGATGTGTTACTGGAATAAGCGATACTATGGTTCAAGTAACAAAACTGGTAATGGCAGTTTGCACATAGAGCATCTGGGCTGTTTGTAAGACATCCTTTTAAGATTTCTTTTTCTTTATTCTTGAAATAACTGTCAGAAGAATTTGGACTCTTTAAATTCAATTCCCTGTAAAAAGCAACTTTCTCATCACTACCAGAAGTCCACCTCAACAACACCTACCATGTACCTTGTAGCTTTGCCTGTACCTGTAGCATTCACTGTTCAAGCATTACATAGGACAGTAATTACATGGCAGTTTACTTGCTGGGTTGCTAGATTTTTGAGTCTACAGATTGAGTAAGTTGACAAACACTATGGCAGTCTTCTTCTTATGCTTAAAATAATTCTGTATCATTAAAAGGATGTTACAGCCTCAGTTGATTTCCCACTTAAAACCATCCTCATTTTTGTTTGTTGTTTCTTGGGTTTTTTTTTAAACAGGACTAGGCCAATTTCAAAACAAAAGATGTTTTATTTCTCTCTCATTCACCACTGAAAATCTGATAGTATATAGAGAATGCAAATAAAGATTTATAGTGCAGTTGTGGAAGACTACATATAAAATCTAAACTATATGCACAGGCACACACAAGATTATTTTTCCTACTGTGATTTAACCTTAAGTTTCCTTTCTTTTTATTCTGTTCATGGTAAGTCACCACATCAAAAGATTATGCATCACATTTTAAGGTAAAAGTATTTGCAGGGTTTTAAAACATACCATAGAAAATTTATTTTACCCACTCCTCATTTATTTTCCCTGTTACAGACCCGATATCCTAAGACAAGAGTGCTGAAAATACCACGAATTAAACATATGGAACAGTGTTCATATCAGTTGAGTGGGAGGCAGGGGGAACATAAAAAAAAAAAAAGAAGTATGGAAACACGCTTGCCTTTCACTCTGAGAGCCTGGCACAATGAGAGATTTGGTTTTTTCATTATTCTTTACACCCATCATAATGCACCAAACGTGCTTGGGCAGAGATTACTTTTCCTCAAGCTTCAGCCCAAGTAAAAATTTTTCGGAAGGAAATGCACCAGATATAGTGAAAATGCTAGCTCTTCCAGCTGGTTTAATGCCAGGAAGCACACCCCTGTGAAATTTAGTCCTAATGCAGAGTAGTGTGAGGAAGCATGTGAAAAAAGAAATGGTAATAGTTATTGTGAAAATTAATCTTTAAAGAGAACAGTTCTCAGCTTTGATAGCAAGCGGGTAGAGGCCATGTTGAACTTCCTTGCAAGCCTGTGTGACCCCTGCCTATCAATGTCAAAACTATTAATATTTTACTGAAAAAGTGTGAGAGGATTCCAACTTTGTCTGTCTTGTAGGTGTTGCTAAGCAACTTTGCTCCTTGTCTGAGAACTAGTTCTCACAGCAACCTTTCCTTCAAGCCAAAGACCTGTGTCCACTTGAAACGCTTTCTCCTTTGTCAACGAAAAACCCAGCAAGTTATATTCCACCCTTCCCTTTATACTTTCCTCTCTACCTTCCAGTTGAAAAGAAAGGAATTTAACACGTCTGAAATCCTCTACTTACCATAATCACTGTCATAGAACACTATGAATTTCTGCCAGCGCAGCTCGGTGACCAGTTTGAGCATGACGTCGTTGAGGCGGACGGGCGGGCGGGCGGCCAGCGTGTACTCCTCCTCCTCCAGGCTGGGGTTCAGGTGGCAGGCAGTGCGGGGGGAGCCTCCCGTGTTCCGCTGGACAAAAAGGTGCGGGATGTGCATGGCATCCGTCAGGGACTGCAGGGCGTTGGCCGAGGCACAGCCGGTGGACGTCACCAAGGCTAAGATCCCCAGGGTCATCAGGTCACAGGCTGCAGAAGACAAAAAAAATAAAGAAGGGTTTGAATGAGCTCAGCGATGCCTTTGGCAACCTACATGCTGGGAAGGGAACAAGACAAGCTTTGCCCTTGCCATCAACGCAGAGCTGAAATTATTTATATTACAGTATCAGCTGAAGCCTTTCAGAGTTAGGTCCTGCACCTTTTTTGCAGTAGGAGACAGTATCTGCAATCTGCACTGATATGCCAAAGCGGAGGACAGATAACGTAGCTACTGTCAGTTCTTGAGACAGCAGCAGATGTGGATGGAGATTATGGCCCTTGCTTCAGGTCATTCCCGGTGGAAGTAGGAACTGAACTCCCATCTTTTAAAACTTATTTCACTGCTTTAACCCCTTAATCTTCGTTAGGCACATTGGATGAAGATTTTGGACAATAAAGAGCAATTTACATTTCAAGGACTCGTGTTACACAGTAGAGTTGTAAAGGATTTTTTTAAACTGATGAAAAAACATTCACTGTGGGTCTCAGAGCAACGAAGAAGCAACAGAGGCACTCATTAGAACAAAGACAACTTATGAATGACTAAACAATTATTAACAACACCGTAGCTGTCTCTAAAAAGATCTGGAAAAGCATGTACCATTTAAAAACACAGCATATAATTTGACCCCATCTGCTTTTGAGAATGAAATACTAGGAGAATTTGAAACACAGACCATGTAGGAGGGCAGAGCCCTGGGAAGCTGGCTCTGCCACTCAGGATATCCCACACGTCTTGTTCTTCCCAGGGTTCCTCCAGGTAAGACAACCTGGTATTCAGCTGTGGTTGGAAAATGTTTCTAGCCAAGGCCCCCAGGTATATCTCAGCAGCTATTTAGTCAGTGGTGGTGCTAAGACTGTGTAAGAATACAAAGCAGCCAGAAATGCCAGTTTTTACTAACTCTCTTGAGTAAGTGGCAGCGAAGTTGGCCCTTGGAGCTGAGCACAGCAAACATCAGGGGTTAGCGTGGCACCAGCCCTGAGCATCCCCCAGGGGCACTTGGAACTGCCTTCTCCTCTCTGCCTTTGAAGAGGGCTGGGGGCAAGCTCAGGGTTTCAGTAGGTGTTTCAGACCCCAACAACCACCTGCCCAAAAAAAACTCCTGCTCTGCTCCTCCACCAGAGAGTCCTGCTGTAATAAAGCCAGACAGGAGGTAACCGGAGATGCTCCACCGTCACACTCTAGTCTGCAGGAGCTCGCTAACAGTGGATAAACGAAAGAGCCTCTGGGGTGTAACTCAGAGCCCCTCGGGGACACACAGAGAGCTGAAATTCAGCTTTCATCTGGAAGGGGGAGGCTGCTCACACCGGTACTGCCCCGCTCCAAGGTGACAGCCTTGGCACACGAGTGAGTGGGCTGCCCACACGTGCCACGTGCTGCAGGACTGCCAGTGCCTGTGAGATGTCTGACCCACTGCCTCTGATCTCCAGTGCAAGTGGGCTGAGTTGAAAGGTAGAAAAGAGAACACATCCATTAAAAGGATTTATTTTTCCACTTCTAAACACTTTTAAGTATATCTCCACCTTTGGAGGCCAGAAAGTCAAAGGAACTGGACAGGTTACAAATAATTAATAGTAATTAACAATTACCAATTAATATTAATTATGTAAAGGCTCAGTAATTAAATACATAAAACTGTTTCTAACACAACCAATGAACCACTTCATCAAATATCTTCTTAGACCAGGCAGAAAATAGATATATTTCACTTTGATATGGGATAGCAGAAGGAAAATGTTTGATCTTCTCTTTGCACAGGATGTACACCATGTATCCTGATGCAACAGAGAAAGATGAAGAGCTTTTAAAATTATTTCCTTGATGGTCTTTACAATAAACATATGTCAGCAGCATTATCTAAATTTACTCTGTGTTGATTATAGTTATATGAAATTGTTCTTTGTTTTTCCTGAGAGCTGACCTGATTTAACAGCAGGGAGGCATTATATTTGCCAAATGGGAGACCCAGGTTCGGGAACAGATTTGATTTCCCAGGCTTCTTGCCAGAGAAAACTGAACATGTCATACAGGTAATTTATTTAGTCACAGTAGGGGAGGGAACAGAGAAGGGGGAACAGAGGGAGAGAACAGCAGAGCTGAGCCATAAACCCCTGCAGAGATCACCAGCCAGCAAGCTTTGCTGTCACCGAGGGTGAGAGAAGCAAGCAACACGGGTTTGTAGCAGGAACAATTTACTTGCAAAGCAGACAGAAGGAGAGAAAAAACAAAGCCTGTTCTGATAGGAGGTCGCATTCAGAGAGTCACTTATTTGTGCAATACAGAGCTGATCACCAGTTGTTTAACAAGAAAAACATCCATTCAGTGGTTGACACTAATCAAAAGCTGCTTGCTTATTAGCAGCAAAAACACCAGAGAGATGACAGATCATGGCAAATGGGCCCCCTTATCTCCCAGCACAGCCCACCAAACAGCTGAAATATCTCAAGAAAGACCATTTCAGTTGAGGCATTTTCCCAGTGTTTTCTAGTTTGTGTACATGGGTTAAAAATGAAGAATTAGCCAATATGCTTCCACGCTCTGATATTTTGTCAATTGATTATGTTCTGCCTGAAAGCATATACTACATAGTGTTTTCTCCTATTGCCTCTCTGTTTTAAAATAGCAGGCAATAAAAACTGGAATGACTAAGGAAAAAAGGTTTCATGTTTTCTGACTTGCTTTCTTTAGTCAAATCACAGAATGTGAAACAGAACGTGTCATTTCTAATAGAAGACTTTCATTATATAAAAATACAATGGATTCCAAGAAGTTCCTCTCCACATTTATTGCACTGAAGGGTGAGAATTAGCTTTGAACACATGAAGTATTTCTTTTTACATGAGTAACACAGTGGGGAACTACTACATAACATACTCCATTTAAAAACTCATTAAGTCTTCAGATACCTCAAAATTCCTTAGCAAAGGAATGTTCAACAATTATACAATCTCAGAAGAAAAGTCTGGTGACCACATTTTTTTTTTTATTTTTGGATTCCCCCTACAGTCCTACACTTTTTTGCACAGAAAACTAACATGAGAAAATGCATGCAATTTTCTGTTTTACTTCACACTAGCTATGGATTTGTAGTGACAATCAAACATCTCTGACTATGAGACTGAATAAATCATTAATTCTGCATATCAGTTGCAGCTTCATAAGCACTCAAAACAACCTTGAATTTTTGCATACAAATTTCATAACCCTGATCTTGATTTTCTTAAAGTTGAAATACAGAGATTTGAAATGCTTTGGTCCATGTCAGCCTATAAGGGGAAAGGGGAATCAAAGCACCTTGAGAACTTTAGTGATCTTTAACTACTATATTTATGGCTATAGGAATGTAATATTATTATAAAAGAACTGCTTTCATATTTATCTTGTAGATATATTTATTTAGATAGGTTTCAAGAGATAATGCTTATAAATTATTTGTTCCACAGATAAAAAGACACAGCAATCCTTCCTCCAAATTTGACTGCTATTTAAACAATGAGTTATTAGTTTGCTCTAGTGAATGCCTTCATCACCATCAGGCTTCACTTTAAGAAGACATCAGCATCCTAAAAATCGTACAGTAAGAAATGTGCATTCCAAGGATGAAAACATGAACATTATCCTACCTAAAAATTAAATCTGCATTAATCCATCTGAGCAACTTAAGTCATGCCATGTGGCTTATCCAGTGTTGGCCTCCATCAATAGACCATCTCTTAGGGTTATTCTTGGATTTCATTAAAGTATTCCAAACTATTGATTAATCCAGTTCATAGTTGTTTTGGGGAACTATCTCTCCTAACCTATTCTTTTGAAGTCTGTTTTCAGAAATTCCCCTTTCCACATCTGCTTGACATTCTCTCTCTTGAACTGTTATTTCCATTACAGTGTTTCACAAGACACTGTCTGCTTTCTTCTCCATCTATTGCCTTGTTTTTTTTTCTATTTAGCTTCTCCGTGTCACCTCTGTCATGATGTTGGCAGAAGTAACACAGATTAATATATTTTGGGCATCTTCTAACTTCCACTTGTCTAACTTGACTTTTACATCATAGCAACACGTACTAAACTTTTCTCTCGTTCTGTGACCCGCATCCCTAACTCCAGTCACGTCCCATGAAGCCACATTCAAGCCTGGAAGAACAGCAGCTATGACATTTCAGATTGCACCTTATCCACGTGACCTTATTCATCAGTGGGACTCGTCACAGCACATGAGATGATGCAAGAATTTTACTTTGCTGCAAACATCCTGCTTGAGGTCTTGCTTTTCTACCAGTGCTTTTTGTCCTGCCATTCTATTTCTGAAGACAGGTGCAGATGGCAAAGTCCTGATTTGGCACCATCTTCATAGGGATATTTGCATTAAGAGCTTTAGTTCAGATCTCTCTGTAATTAAATCCCTCTCTCTACAAACCACAGGGAATTAAAATACTCCAAGAGAAACTGTTATCTTGCTCCTGGCAATGTGACAACGTGACCATCTCTCAGACTCCCTTTCAGCGGTTTCCTATTATTCAGAAAAGGGTAGGAACTTGTTCCTTCGTTTCCTCCATTATCAAAAGACCAGCTGCCAGTGTAAATTCAGATCTAACAATATATCCACCTACTGGCATTCACACTGCCTCTTCAAACTTCAATCTCATTCTGTCTCTCACGTCTGGGCATCACCGTAGCTGGCCCTACCCACTCTGGAGACCACCTGATACTTGAGAAATCCTCCCTAAATTTTTAGTTCATTTTTTTCTTTTTTTTTTTTTTCTTACTGTACTGCGAAGGACTTGCATTTTAAAAAACGTCACTTGTGAAAACTGAGAGGTTTCTGCCCTTTTTCTTGGAAAGATTTTCAAATGAAGGAAGATAACTTCAGATCTGCTGTAATACTCTGCAATGAAGTGATTAACAAAGTTGGCACTTAAGTATCTGTAATTAGGTTCGAAAGCCACCTTCCTGCTGAGATGAGGGACTTCATGCTTGCCTCAGTACTACTGCC